CTACTAACACTGGGGGACGTAGCAGCTCTATCTAATGTATAGAAACAAACAGGGAGGCAGTCAAAATAGGAAGACAAAGAAACATATCTCAAATGAAAGAAGAGAATGAAGCTCCAGGAAAAGAACTAAACAAAATGGAGACAAGCAATTTACCATATGCAGAGCTCGAAACACTGGTTATAAGGATGTTCAATTAACTTAGGAGAAGAGTAGATGGACTCAATGAGAGCTTTAACAAAGAGACAGAAAACAAAAAGAACCAGTCCAAAGTGAAGAATATAATAACTGAAATGAAGACAACATTAGAGGGAATCAATAGATTAGATGAAGCAGAGAATCGAATCACTGATTTGGAAGATAAGGTAGCAGAAAACATCCATACAGAATAGAAACATGAAAAAAAAGAATCCAAAAAAAGAGGACAGCTTAAGGGCTTCTAAGACAACATTAAATGTACCAATATTCGTATAAGAGGGAGAAGAGAGAGAGCAAGGAATTGAAAATCTGTTTGAAGAAATAATGACAGAAAACTTCCCCAATCTGGTGAAGGAAGTAAACATACAAGCCCAGAAAGTGCAGACAGTCCCAAGTAAGATGAACCAAAAGAGGCCCGCACATCATAATTAAAATGTAAAAGATTAAAGACAAAGAAAATCTTAAAAGCATCGAGAAACAAGCAAATAGTTACCTACCAGGGAGTGCCCATAAACTGTTGGCTGATTCCTCAACAGAAAGTCTGCAGGCCAGAATGGAATGACACAAAATATTTAAAGTGAAGAAAAGCAAAGACTTACAACCAAGATTACTCTACCCAGCAAGGCTATCATTTAGAATCCAAGGAGAGATAAAGAGCTTCCTAAACAAGAATAAGATACTGCAGTTCATCACCACTAAACCAGTGTTACAAGAAATGTTAAGGATGTTCTTTAAGTGGGAAAAAATAAAAAATATGAATAAGAAAATACAAGAAAGAAAAATATTCTCACTGACAAAGGCAAGCAGTAAAAGCAGTGGAACAACCAACTATAAAACTAGTACAAAGTTAACAGGAAAAGTAGAAAGATCATGTGTAATTACAATAAATTAAGAGATACACACAAACACATACACAAAGTAAAAATATAATGAAAAATACAATAAAATGGCAATAACTACACACCTATAGTTACTTTAAATGTAAACAGATTAAATGCTCCAGTCAAAAGACATAGGGTGGCTGAATGGATAAAAAGCAAGACTTGCACGTATGCAACTTACAAGAAAGCCCCTTCAGATTGAAAGAAACATACTGACTGAAAGGGATGGAAAAAGATATTTCATATAAATGGAAATGAAGAAAAACCTAGGGTAGAGATATTACATCGGACAAAATAGACTTTAAAATAAGGGCTGTAACAAGAGATGAAGAAGGGCATTTCATAATGTTAAAGGTATCAATTCAACAAGAGGATATAATTCATAAATATTTATGAATCCAACGTAGGAGCACCTAAATATATAAAAAGATGGACAAAGAGAGATCTACAGTAATACAGGATTATTAGGGGGCATTAACACTGAAGTGACATCAATAGATACATCATTCAGACAGAAAATCAACAAGCAAACAGTGGCCTTAATGACATATTAGATAACATTAATTTAATTGTTTTGGTGGAACATTTCACTCAAAAGCAGCAGAATATGCATTCTTTTCAAGTATACATGGAACATTTTCCAAGATAGACCACATATTAGGCTAGAATACAAGGGTCAATAAATTTAAGAAAATTGTAATTATACCTAGCATCTTCCCAGACTACAATGGTATAAAACTAGAAATCAATTACAAGAAAACTGAAAAACTCACAAATGCGTGCAGGCTAAATAATATGCTACTAAACAATGAATAGGTTAAGAGCAAGATCAAGGAAGAAATAAAAAGATACATTGAGACAAAGAAAATTGAAAACACAATGACTCAAAACCTATGGGACACAGCCAAGGCAATTCTAAGAGGGAAATTCATAGCAATACACAACTACCTCAAGAAATAAGAAAAATCTCAAATAAATAGTCTAACCTTACTCTTAAATGAACTAAAAATCAAGAACAAACTAATACCAAAGTAAGTACAATAAAGAAAATAATTAAGATTGAAGCAGAAATAAATGATAATGTCTCAAAGAACAACAGAAAAGATTAATGAAATCAAGAGCTGTTTCTCTGAAAACATAAATAAAATTAACAAACCTTCAGCCAGACTCATCAAGAAAAACAGAGGGAGGGCCTAAGTAAATATAATCAGAAATGAAAGAGAAGGGACAACTGACTCCACAGAAATACAAAGGATTATAGGAAAATACTATGAACAATTAAATGCCAACAAATTGGACAAGTTGAAAGAAATGGATAAATTCCTAGAATCATAAAATCTTCCAAGATCAATTAAGAAAAGCAGAAAATTGGAACAGATAGATAACTACTAACATAATTCAATCAGTAACCAAAAAACTCCCAACAAACAAAAGTCCTGGACCAGATGGCTTCACAGGCGAATTTTACCAAACATCTAAAGAAGAATTAATATCATTCTTCTCAAAATATTCCAAAAAACTGAAGAGAGAAGGCTCCCAAACTCATTTTACTAGGCAAGCATTACCCTAATATCAAAACCAGATAAAGACACTACAAAGAAAAGGAAATTATAAGCCAATATCTCCAATGAATAGTGATGCAAAAATCCATAACAAAATATTAGCTAAGTGGACTTAGCTATACATTTAAAAAAATCATACACCATGATCAAGTGGGATTTATTCCAGGGATGCAAGGTTGGTTCAATATCTACAAATCAATGAACTTGATACACCACATATACAAAATGAAGGCTAAAAATCATATGATCATACGGAGGGTAGGGAGGAAGGGGGAGGAGGGAAATAGAGGGAGTAAAGGGAATCAAATATGTGGTGACAGTAAGAAATCTAACTATGGGAGGTGAATTCACAATGCAATATATATATGCCTTACTGTTAAATTGTACACCTGAAACTTACTGGATTTCATAACCAATGTCGCCATAAAAATAAATTTTTAAAAAATCAGATGATCATAAAAATGGATGCAGTAAAAGCATTTTACAAAATCCACTACTGATTAAAAACTCATAGCAAAGTAGAGGCAGAGAGAACATACTTTAACAAAATAAAGGCCATATATGACAAACCCACAGCTAACATCATACTCAGGGGTGAATAGCTAAAAGCTTTCCCTTTAAGATCAGGACCAAGACAAGAATATCCACTTTCCCCATATTTATTCAACATAGTAATGGAAATCCTAGCCACAGCAATCAGACAAGAAAAAAGAGATAAAAGGCATCTCAATTGGAAACACATAAAACTGCCATTATTTGTAGATGACATGGTAGTATATATAGAGAACCCTAAAGAGTCCACCAAAAATTAGTACTGATAAATGAATTGAGGAAAGTAGCAAGATAGAAATATTCAGAAATCAGTTGCATTTTATGCATGAATAACAAACTATCAGAAAGAGAAATTAAGAACACAATCTCATTTATAATGGCTTCAATATGAATAAAATGCCAAGAATAAATTCAATCAAGGAGGTAAAGGACCTGTACTCAGAAAATTATAAGATACTGAAGAAGATAAAATTAAATGGAAGCCTATACCATGCTCCTGGATAGGAAGAATTAACATCGTTAAAATGTCCATACTGCCAAAGCAATTTACAGATTTAATGCAATCCCTATCTAAATAGCAATGACATTTTCACAGACTAGAACAAATAATCCTAAAATTCATATGAAATTACAAAAGACCCTGAAGAGCCAAAGCAGTGATGAGAAAGGACAAAGTTAGAGGTATCACACTATCTTATATCACTACCTTAGATCAAGTACGGTACTAAATACAGCATGGTATTAAATACAGACAATATAGATCAGTGGAACAGAATAGAGAGACCAGAAATAAACCCACATCTGTATGGTCAATTAACCTATGACAAATAAGGCGAGAATATACAATGGGGGTAAAGACAGTCTCTTTGATAAATAGTGCTTGGAAAACTGGACAGATATATGCAAAAAGTAAAACTAGACTACAAGAATAAACTCGAGATGGATTAAAGACTTACATTTAAAACTTGAAACCATAAAACTCATAGAAGAAAGCATAGGCAGTAAACATTTTGACAACGGTCTCAGTAACATTTTTTTGGATAGGTCTCCTTAGGTAAAAAAAACAAAAGCAACAATAAACAAGTGGACTATGTCAAACTAAAAAGGTTTTGCACGGTGAAGGAAATCATCAACAAAACGAAAAAACAACCTACTGAATGGGAGAAGAAATTCACCAATGATGTATCTGATAAAGGGTTAATATACGAAAGAATTCATATAACTTAACACTACAAAAAGAAACAATCCGATTTAAAAATGAGCAGAGGACCTGAAGACATTTCTCCAAAGAGAACGTACAGATGGCTAACAGATATATGAAAAGATGCTCAATGTCACTGATCATCAAAGTAATATAAATTAAAACCACATGAGATGCCACCTCATGCCTGTGAAAATGGCTCTCAATGAATCAATGAACAACAAGTGTTGGCAATGATGTTAAGAAAAGGGAACCATCACACACTATTGGTGAGACAGTAAATTTGTGCAGCCACTATGGAAAACAGTATGGAGGTTCCTCAAAAAATTAAAAATAGAACTACCATATGACCCAGCAATTCAACTCCTCGGTATTTATCTGAAGAAATCCAAAACACTAATTTGAAAAGATATGTGCACCCTAATGTTCACTGCAGCATTATTTACAATAACCAAGATATGGAAGCAAACTAAGTGTCCATCAATAAATGATTGGATAAAGAAGATCGAGGACATCAGAAAAAAGTACTGTGGCATGAGGGATATCCCCAGATCTCTCCTCTTGAAATAACAAAAAGCTGAACATTTAAACTCAACAAATAACGCCCACCTGCACACAAGCACATCTGAGAGATCTGTGCATCAGAGGATCCAAAGGTGGGCAAATCTGCACGAGACTGGGAGGATGATTTGGAGTGTGAAACAAAGGAGCTGCAATACACAGCTGGGCTCTCTGCAAGAAAAGGGGAATGGGACATTATGTCACCAGGGAAGCTTGGAGCAGTGCTGCTTAAGCAATCAGCACATTCCACACACCAGAGCCCAGGGATCAGGGCAGAGAGCAGGGCAGACACTGAGTGCAGAGGGGCAACAGCTATGGCATAGAAACCACCATTGCAAAGAGAGAGGCTGAGTCACAGAGCCTAGCTGGGCCCCACCCCACCAACCCAGAAGGCACCCACTCCCACATATATCAGAGCTAACACCACTGAGCCCCTGGTGTTAAACAGGTTGAACAGGAGAATGTGTTCAACCGGTACTGAAACATATACTACAGCTGGTACCAGAGACAGGAGTGATGATATCAAAGCAAGACATCAGAAACCTGAGGGACAGCACTAAGAAAAGTAAAATAGCCACACATCCAGCAGATTTTTCCCAATCAACCCCATCCCCATCTAGTCAGGCAGAATCAAAAGGAAGCAGCAAAGCATTGCATCTGACTGCTGGGCCAGAAACAGGCTCTCAGGACCTCTTCTGAGACTCAGACCCTCATCACCTATCACACACTTTCAAGGAGGTAGAGCCCTGGGACCGAGGGACCTGATTTTAGAGGCACATACCAGAGAGGAAAGAGCATTTTTAGTCTCCAAGCAGAGATCCAAGAGGCTTGAAGACCATCTAATGGAAGTCAAAAGAAAACCCACCTCTTACTAACTTCCTGAAAGGATATCACTATATTATAATTTTTTTTTTTAAAGCATAACACACTCCCATTAATGCCCAGGCAAATAAATAGTCCATCAAACACCATGAACAACCAAGGTGACAAGGCAGCTCAGAAAGAAACTGAAAAATCTAGAGAAAATAAGCTTAAGGACAGAAATATGCGGTTTAAACAACAGAGAATTCAGGATTGCACTTCTGAAAACACTCAATGAGATGCAAGAAAATTCTGTCCAAAAATTTCAAGAAATTAGAAACAAAATAAACAAACAAAACAAATACTTTATCAAGGAGATTGAAACCCTGAAAAAGAACCCAATAAAACTTCTGGATATGAAGAACAAATTAAAAGAGATAAAGAATGAAATAGCAAGCTTAGGAAATAGAGCTGACCAAATGGAGGAAAAAATTAATGGTATTGAAAACAGAAATCTGAAAATGACACAGAAGGAAGAGAGACTTGAGAATGAAAAATAATGAAAGAACTCTACCAGAACTATCTTTCACCATGAGAAAAAAAGTAACATAAGAATAATGGGTATACCAGAAGGAGACAAGAGGGAGAAGGGAACAGAGAATCTATTCAAACAGTCAATGAGAATTTCCCACACCTATCGAAAGAACTTGATCTTTAAATCCAAGAAGCAAACAAACATCCAATTATGTCAACCCAAAGAGGCCTTCTTCAAGACACATTATATTAAAGTTGTTAAAAAATATTGATAAAGACAATTCTCAAGGCAGCCAGGAAAAAGAAGACATTTACTTATAAAGGAAAACTGATTAGACTATCATCTGACTTTGCAGCAAAAACCTTACAAGCAAGAGAAGAGTGGAACTAGGTATTCAAACTATTGAAAGAAATAAATTACCAGCCAAGAATAATATATCCAGCAAAGCTCTCCTTTAGTTAGGAAGGAGAAATAAAGACCTTTCCAGTTGTACAAAAGCTGAAGGAATTCTCCACCACAAGGTCTGCATTATAGAAAATACTGAAAGAGGTCATTCTACCTGAAGCAAAAGGACAAAAAATATATAACTATGAGTAAGATGACTAACAGGCCAACCGGAGAGTGTAACTCTTATTAAGAACAGGGTTATAAGCTTAAATATTACATAATGGTTAAAGGCCAAAAAAAAAAAAAAAAAAAAAAAACCACTAAAAAAAAAAACACTAAAAAAAGAAGATAACAGCTACTGCAACTTAGAAAGGAATGGTCAGCATATATGTTCAGTGATAATTTTTGAAACAAAAAAACAGAAAAGGGAAGTAAAGCTCCAATTCCTCAAAGGAGAATGGAGATAAGGTGCACACTGAAAACGGAATATAAATATATAAGTATCCTTTACATAAACTTAATGGTAACCACACATTAAAAATCCAGAACTAAGACACACATCATAAAACAAGAAGGACCAGAGGGAAAATCAACAAAACACCACCAAACAAAAATAACAGACAGAAACACAATGACAAAGAAACAATGGAGACCCCAAGTTATCAGAAAACAAAAGATAAAATGACCATAGGAAAACCTCATATTTCAATAATCACCCCTAAAGTAAATGGATTAAATTCACCAATAAAAAAGCATAGAGTAGCAGACTGGATCAAAAATAAAACAAAACAAAAACGAAACCAACCAAACTGCCATAGGCTGCCTTCAAGAGAAATATCTCAGCTGTAAGGACAGAGATTCAAAGAGAAAGGGTGGAAAATAATAATTCCAACAAATGGCATCCAGAGAAAAGTGGGTGTAGCCATACTTATATCTGATGACATAGGCCATGATAGAAAGAGTAGAGACAATGATGGACACTTCAAAATTATAAAGGGAACCATGTATCAAGAAGACCTAACACATATTAATATTTATGCTTCCAACCAGGGAGCATAAATATTTAAAACAACTACTAACAGGACTAAGAGGAAAAATTGACAACAACACAATTACAGTAGGGGACCTAAATACCTCACTGTCAGCTATGGATATACCATCCAAACAGAAAATCAATATGGAAATATTACCATTAAATGACACATTAGATCAATCGGACATAATCAACATTTACAGAGCCCTTCATCACAAAACAGCAGCTTATTCGTTATTCTCTAGTGCACATGGGACACTTTCAAGGATAAATCATATGTTGAGACATAAAACTGCCTCAACAAATTTAAGAAGACTGAAATCATGTCAAGCATATTCTCTGACCATAATGGTTTGAAACTGGAGATCAACTGTAAAAAGAAAGCGGGAATAACCACAAATATGTAGAGATCAAACAACATGCTACTGAAGAATGACTGGGTCATAGAAAAAATAAAAGGAGAGATTAAGAGATACATAGAAACAAACAAAAATGAAAGTACATCATATCAAAACTTTTGGGACACAGCAAAAGCAGTAATAAGAGGAAAGTTCATATAATTACAGGCCTATCTCAAGAAATAAGAGCGAGCCCAAATAAACAATTTAACATTACACCTTAAAGAACTAGAAAAAGAACAAATAAAGTCCAAAGTCAGCTGAAGGAAGGAACTAATAAAAATTAGAGAAGAATTAAATGAAATTGAGAACAAAAAGACAATAGCAAAAATTAATGCAAAAAGCTAGTTTTTTAAAAAAATTTTCCCGTCTTTATTGAAATATAATAGACAATTAGTTGCTTGTATTAACATTGTACAATTCAATGAGGTATTTTTTTTTCAATTATTTTTGGCATACAATAATATACCAGTTTCAGTTGTATAGAATACTGATCTAAGATCCACATAACTTTCAAAGTGATCACCCCACTAAATCTAGTACCCTCTTATTTCTTATGTATTACATTATTAACCATCTTCCCCATGCTACACTCTACATCTCCATGTCTATACTGCAGTATCCATTTGTACCTTTTAATCCCTTTGCCTGATTTTTGCCATACCTCCTAACCCCTCTCCCATCTAGTAGCCCTCAAAATATCCTCTGTATCTATGAGTTTATTTCCACTTTTGTTGTTGTTGATTTTGTTCTTTAGATTCCACATGTACATGAAATCATGCAATATTTGCCTTTCTCTATCCAACCCATTTCATTCAGCGCAATAACCTCTGGTCCATCAAGGCAGTATCTTTTTCCATCCCCTTCCTTTTAGTGTGTTTTCCAATCTGAAGTCAGTCTCTTGGAGGCAGCATATGTAGGGGTCTTGTTTTCTCATCCATTCAGCCACTCTATCTTTTGTTGGAGCATTTAATTCTTTTCCATTTAAGGTATTTGTTGATAGGAATGTAGTTATTACCATTCTTTATTCATGTTTTTGATACATGCTTTTTCTTTTTAAAGAAGTCCTTCTAACATTTACTGTAATACTGGCTTGGTGATAAATTCCATTAGCTTATTTTTGTCTGGGAAGCTCTTTATCTGTCCTTCAACTCTGAATGATAGATTTGCTGAATAAAGTATTCTTGGTTGTAGACCCTGGTTTTTTATCACGTCGAATATTGTGTGCCAAGTCTTTCTGTCCTGCATGGTTTCTTTTGAGAAATCAGCTGCCAGTCTTATGGGTGCTCCCTTGAAGATAACTAACTGCTTTTCTCTTGCTGTTTTTAAGATCCTCTCTTTGTAGTTAACCTTTGGCATTTTAATTATGATGTGTCTTGGTGTGGGCCTCTCTGGGTCCCTGGTTTTTGGGATTCTTTGAGCTTCCTGGAGTTTTATGTCTATTTCCTTCACCAGGTTAGGGAAGTTTTCCATCATTATTTCTTCAAATAGCTATTCAACATCTTGTTTTATTTCTAGTACCCCTATGACATGGATATTTTTGCCCTTAATAATGTCCCATAGGCACCTTAAATTATTATTATAGTCTTGGCTTCTTTTTTCTTGCCATTCTGATTGAGTCCTTTGTTTTCCCATCCTCTATATAGGTCATTTGATCCTCTTCGTTATTCACTTTGTTTGTTCCATTTAACATATTACTCATCTCAGACAGTATGTTCTTCATTTCTGACTGGTTCCCTTTTAGAATTTCCATTTTTATGTTTTTAATCTCTTTGTTAAAGTTCTCACTGAATTCATCTACACTCCCCCTAAGTTCACTGAGCATCTTTATAACCAATGTTTTGAACTCTGCATCTGTTAGATTGCTTGACTCCAATATTTCTGGATCTCTGTTCTGTTCTCTCATATGGTTTCTGCTTCTTTGTCATCCCATTTTGGCTGCCTTTCTGTGTCTGTTTCTATGTACTAAGCAAAGCTCCTAAGTCTCCCAGTCTTATTAGCATGGCTTTGTGTAGTA